ACTACGAACAGAGAGAATTCCCAGCAAGCTCACAGATGGTGATACCAAATGGTGGCTACTGGAGAGGCTGGAGAAATGGGCTGATGGTAACCCCATCATGATTGATTAAGATAAAGGCAAAGCCCTACAGCTGGGACAGAATAACCCCATGTGCCAGTATGGGCTATGGCCTCATGTCTAGAGAAGAAGCTGTGTAAAAAGGGACATGAGGGTCCAGGGGACACCATAGGCCCTTGCAGAGATGTAGACTAAGAGCACCCTGAGCTGCATTAGCAGAAGCTTAGCCAGCAGGCTGAGGGAAACGATCATTTCCCTCTATTTTGTGCTTGTGAAACCATACCTGGAGCATTGTATCCAGTTTGGGGCTCCCTGATACACAAAGGACACTGACATGCTGGGGTGAGTCCAGCAGAGGCCACCAAGCTGGTCACAGGCTTGACCACAGGGACACGCAAGGAGAGGCTGAGTGAACTGAGGGAGCTGCATCTGCTCAGCCAGGAGAAAAGTCAGCTTTGGATGACCATGCTATCTGGGTCCTGAGTGCACTGACAGGCTCTGCAGCCTCTTCCCCCTCTCTCCCAAGGGTCTGGCTACCTCTGTTGAAGGTCAGCTCTGATACTGCACTATGACGAGACTCATCTGTTCTCCCCTCCCATTCACCTTCTGCCTGATAGTTCAGGAACTGCATTGAGACTCACAGCCTCGCCCTGGGTCCTGACCTGAGCTGCACTGGAATTCACTCAGAACCTGTCTTTGTAACCTACTGATCCTGATTTTGCCCCACTGACTTTCCTGCCTGGCTTGCTCTTGAACTTGTTCTGTAACTATGGATGTGTCCTAACTTGTCACCTCAACTTGGAAAGACCTTGCCTGCCATCACCACAGCCCATGTGCTGCTGTGAGCAGTTTGCACAGGAAGGGAGACTGGGAGGTGTCTCCTGTGTTGCCACCCTAGAGAAGTGGCTGGCTGACAGCATATGCTTGGAAACCCCGGTGATTCACTTAATTCTTTCAAACACAGGCCGCACAAATCACCCAGAGGTAACAAACGCTGTTCACTATTCAACTTTTAGATTGACCTGTTAGTCCTGCAGATTGACTGCAATTAATTGCTTCCGCAGATGCCTCATGCCACTAGTTCCCAGGACCAGCACAGAGGGATGTCTCTCTCCCAGGGCTCACTGGCCTACGGACTCCATTAGCTGGAAGGCACCTGCTGACACTTAGCTAAAGCTGCTATGAAATTACTTGTGCTCAACAAACACATTTTAAAGCTACCGTCTCTTGTCTTACCTTGTTCCAAATTGCTCAGTAGTATATCTGAAGGCAAGGTCTTAGCCCTGCTGTCTCCATACTAACTCTCACAGAGAATATGCAGCCAATGTCAGGGCCGCTGTGCATTTAATAACAGTTAAAACATGAGCACCTCGGGACTTTTTACCTCCTGGCAGTTGATGCAGCTGAGTTTTCCAGTAGTCATATAAGAAGTATGTGTAAAAAACATAGAATCATAGAATCATAGAATGGTTAGGGTTGGAAGGGACCTCAAAGATCATCTAGTTCCAACCCGCCTGCCATGGGTTGGACATCCTGCCTCTTTATTTCTTATTCAGAAAAAAAACCACTCCAAAGCTTTGTAATTTGGCTTAGCGAAGACCTAATTGGCTTAATATATATATATGCTCAAGGTCCTCCTAACGTACACACAGAGATGTCTGCAAACCTCACAGCAGACATTCTCTGCAGACATCCCTCCGTATGGGTGTGTGATGACTTCCCCTTCTCCCCATCCATGCTGCCGAGGTAGGCTGCACTCCACACACCAGGATTTGCTTCCCACAGCTATAGAGGGGATGTAGTCTCCAACACCCACCATCCTCTGCCGTCTGGCCCAGGGACTGACACTGCCAGCGTCCCTAGCCCAGGGCCAGAGCAAGGCAGCAGGGTGGGAGATGGGAGAGGGGAGGGCAGGAGTGTCCTGCTGTGGTGCAAAGACAATTGCCACACTGGGAAGCACAACATAGCGTACCCTCTGCAAGACACGTGAAGTCTTTGTGCTAATCAGCACCAGAAAAAGCCTCAGCTAAGGACTCTGTTCTTTTTGGGTAGCTACAGTTCAGTGAAGATGAGGACCAACTGCACAACCTCAAAACCGTGGCAACAACCATGACCGGAAGTGAAGATGTGACCTGAAAAGACTGCAGAACTGGGATGGCTTAGAGAAGGAAAAACATGCTAAGGACAGGTATATGTGTCTATAACTACGTGACAGCCAGTCAGGAAAGGGAAAGAAGTAGATAGGTTTGCCACGTCTGTGTGGACAGAGTAGGAGCAGGTATGCACATATAAATGCAGAAATACATGTAGTTTCCCTTTTTTGGCTTTCATTTTTAATCAGCAATGAATACGATGTGTTTAAGTATTGCTTTTTAGTATTTAACTTATAACAAGAACAGCCTTTGCTGTACTTTGTGGAGTTATGAACAAGACATCCAAGATACTTGAGAATTCATCTAGAGTCTCAGCTCAGCTTTGCAAAACTCAAGGCTTGCAAAATTGAACTTATTACAAAAGATACTGAAATTTGCGCAATCTGTGTACATTTCATGTCTCAGTCCTGTTTGTATTCTCCAGCTCAGGGCTTTACGTCTGCTGGTGTGACTAGTAGGACTTCTGTAAAAACTACCAGGGACTTTTGAAACCAAACCAATAAATAAAAACAGCAGCGTTTTGAAACATATGGTGCAACTTGTACTCATGTCCTGTTTTCTGCTGGGATAGAGTTAATTATCTTCCTAGTAGCTGGTATAGTGCTATGTTTTTGAATTTAGAATGAGAATAATGTTAACACACCGATGTTGCTGAGCAATGCCCATACTAAGTCAGGGACTTTTCAGCTTCTCATACTGCCCTGCCAGTGAGGAGGCTGGGGGCGCACAAGAAGCTGGGAAGGAACGCGGCCAGGACAGCTGACCCAAACTGCCAAAGGGATATTCCATACTATATGATGTCATGCTGAACAATAACACTGGGGGGAAGTTGGCTGTGGGGCAGTGGCAGCGGCTCAGGGACTGGCTGGGCATCAGTCAGCAGGTGGTGAGCAATTGCATTGTGCATCACTTGTTTAGTATATTCTTTTATCATTATTATTATTATTATTACTATTATTTCCCCTTCTTTTTCTGTCCTATTAAACTGTCTTTATCTCAATCCATGAGTTTTACCTTTTTTCCAATTTTCTATTCCATCCCACTGGAGGAGGGTGGGGAGGGAGCAAACGGCTGTATGGTGTGTAGCTGCCTGCTGGGTTAAATGACAGCACTCTGTGACAGCCACAGCCACTGTGTCCATCCTTTCAGTACTCTGTTGGATCTGCACTATCAGGATTAACATCTTTTTGATCACTTAAATGCTAAACTATAAAACTGAGCTTTGCTACCCTGGTGTCTTAAGTTAATTTCTTAAAAATGAACCGTTGTTACAGAAAATAAAAAAATTACCAGAGCAGTAACTGAGAATCATGTATCATGAATGGTATAGTTTACCAATGGGACTACACTACCTAAAAATTACATGGGAAAAAGAAAAGAAGTTCCATTTGGTCTGAGTTAATTTAATCTCACATCCAACACCAAGAAGCCATGGATGGTTTTAAAACAAGTCTGCAGCAGCAAAACATGCAAAGAATAACCTGCTCAAAATTTTTAATACAATTGAGCTCGTGTAATTCTTTATGAAATGCACAAAAGGCCTAAAAGCATGTTCTTAATTTGCTTTGTGCTGCCTTAAACATTGTTTTGTATCAGATGTGCTTGTTTGGCCTCCTTGGGTCTCTCTCCTTTACAGAGGGAACTTCCGTTAAATATATGGTTTACCAGAATGGAAGAGAGATTTGTTTTATTTTATTATCTTACTACTCATTACTGAAGATGAAGAGATAAAAGGACATAAAACATAAATCACAACTGCCTTCACACGTTGTTTAAACATTCCTCAGCAGGGTTGCGCAATTTTCACCTCTGGCTCAGGAAGGATCACTATTTCACTGTTTCTCTGGCCAATAAAAATGCTGCAAAGCCAGACAGGACTCACATAAGGACAACGTAAGCAAAAGTTAATCCGGTAGAAACGAGTCAAATCACTCTCCTACAGTTACAAAACTTCTAAATACAGCTAAAAATGAGCTAAATATAAAATATTTAAATACTAATTAAAAATAGACTAAGCTCATTCATCTCTGCAGCATGATGTTAAAAGAAAAAAAGAACTCTAGTTGTTGCTTTGCCTTTAATTGAAAACATTTCCTAGCCGCTCTGTCTCAGGCTGTGTGGTATCACCTGCTCTCTCAGGAGCTTAACACAGGTATTCCTCAGATGAAGCTGTTGTGGATGAGCCAATATTCGCTCCCACACTAAGAAACGTCTCTCCGAATCCCTTCCAATTAATTCAAAATTTACTTCTGAAAAATGCCAGGGCCTGCCTCCACAGCTATTATCTCAGTTAGTACACCAAACATTTTCAGTTTATAAGTAAGTTTCTGTCTTGATAAATCTCTCACTCATGGAAAACAGATTTAACTGACTTGCTCTCTTCCTCTCTTTCTAGTCTTTCTTTCAGGCTTTCCCCCTCCTGATAGACAATCAACAAGTCAATTTATTCCTTTGGTCATATATGTGTATATCCCCGCTACCTTAAGATTATGCCCTTGCCTTTGATGTGGTGGCACAGAGGAAATGGACTGAACTCAGTAGAGGTTTCAGTGAAGGGAAGAAGCACTGGCCCCTGGCGCCGCAGTGCAGTAGGGCAACCCGCAGCCCACGGCACCGGCTCATGGCACTCCGTGGTGAGGTCAACACAAGAGACCAAGTTTCACGGCAGAACCACACTCTGACAGGCTTTTTGTAGCATTTCTGAAAGATGAAGAAAACTAGGATCAGCCGGATCTGAATTGGAGGTTGCTGAATGTCTCAACTAACAGTGAGTACAATGGGAATCCAGGACATAAACCACTATTTGGAGCACTTTTGAGGCAACCCAAAGCCTCCATAGCAGGAGAGCTTGCAATGTGTTGCTCACCAGCCTGGGCTGCGGCACCAGGGACGCTGTTGCATCTTCCGCAGCCAGGAGGAAATGGCCTGCCTCTTGTGGGCAGGATAGGTACCTTGAGTTGAGTAGTTAATTAGTTCATTAGTAGTTCATTATCTCAACTCAGTCCAGCTGGATAAGAATGATTAGTGCCATAATTCCCCCTTTTTGTTTTACCATTTTTTCTGTTTTCACAAAGGCTTTATGGTGAGCAGAGACCCGGCCCATTCATCCAACTCCAGCACGCTTCCCTTCCGCGAATACCACGTCGGGGCTTGCGGCTTTACCTTCTTCTCCGAAGGACTCTCGCTCGAGCTCCCGGCTCC